AAGACAATGTTCGACAGCCTACTTGAGAGGTTAGCAACTGGTGTCTGAAAATGTTCAAACAGCCATTTAAGGTGCAACGATTGGTGTCTCCTCATCTGGAACAAAGAGCAAAGGACATCGAAGATGTATATCCGATGGCCTAAAGGACCAAACAAACACCACCATCCACAACCCGGGGCCAGAGGGACTAGATGGTGCCCGACTCTCACTATAGACCGCTCTGCAAGGGATCACGGGGAAGGTTCCGGATAGGGTGGGAGAACGTGTGGAACAAACCTCAAGACCATAGGAGACCAGGCTTGTTGACTGGATAGAGACCGGTGGCATCACCAAGACTGCAGCCCTTCGTCACCCTTCGGGCTTGGAAGTGAACTCACCTGGTGGTTCTATTTTCTCCCATAGAGCAATTGGTGGTTTTGAACTGTGGACCCTGTGTATCATCACTGTGCCACCAGGACTAAGAAGAAAGATTAAACCTGTTACATCGGTAGGGGGTGGTATACGGAGTGGTCAGGGGCAGGTGTGTCTGATGAGGTGACATTTGAGCAGAGACCTCACATGAGGTGAATGAAGGTGAGAGCCATGTGGACGTTGGAAAGATGAGCATTCTGAGCGTCAGAAGAGTAGCGCTGAAGGCCCTGAAGCAGGAGGTGCGTGCTGTGCTGGAGGCCTGGCTGGACCACAGTCATCTAGGGAGAGAGGAGATGAGGGCAGACGTATAGCCAGGACTAGATCAGGTGAACTTTACAAGCTATTGCCTTTAAGAGTGATGGGAAGCCACTGAAGGATTCTGAGCAGGGGATCCACAGGGTCACGGTGGCAACCTTGGAGGATGGGGATGGAGATAAGAGTAGATGCAGGAATACAAACTGAGATGTTTTGGCAAGAGATCCAGGAGAGATGGTCCTGAGATTAACGTGGTGGCAGAGAAAGTGGTGAAGAGGATTCTGGGAGTGCTACAAGGTAGAGCCAATGAGAGCTGAACTGGCTGTGGGATGCTGAGGTAGACGGGGTTGGGGTCACGTGGGGGCCGGGGGAGTCAAGGAAGGCTTCCAGGTGTTTGGAACAACGATAGTCACCGAGATGGAAGAGGGTGGAGGTGGAGCAAGTGTGGAGAGGCCTTTGGGGATTCTGATTTAGAATGCTGTTTGAAATGCCTGCTAGACTTGAAAGCAGAGGTACTGAGTCTGGGATGTGGGACAAGGGAGGCTGGTGACCTCCATCTGGGAGCTGTCAGAGACTTGATTGGACAAAACAAACACACAATAAACAGCGCTTGACCCTGGGGCCACTGCTTGTTATGCATGCCAGTATTTGTCCAATTTGTGTAAAGCCAGTTTCTGTTGGGTTTTTTGGTCACTTGCAACCACACATCCAGAACATGGCAAGCTTTTTCTTTCTGCAAGGTCAATGGTATTCAAAACACATGGCTCTACTTGTGGGGTGGGGAGACAGTTAAGGTTTATTGTGCCAACTTGGCCGATAAACACATGTGGGATTAATAGAAGGGCAGAGAGATAAATGGCTCCGTGAGCCTCGTCTTTCTAGTTCTCAGGTCTCTTGCTTTCTGATGGTTGGACGAGGGTTCGGCTGCCTTAGCCAATTCCCTGCTTCAGCTGGCAAGCCTCACTTCCTGCAAGACATCCCCAAGGGGAAGTCACATGGCTCTACCCTGATGTAGCCCTG